AGCCGCTGAGAGGTCCAAAAGCACAAGGACAGAGGAATAACCCCTGTCCCGGGCCCTCCAGAGATCATTCACCAACGTGACCAATGCCGTTTCCGTGCTGTGTCCCGGCCTGAAGCCCGACTGGTATGGGTCTAGATAATCTGCTTCCTCCAGGTGCCGCGGGAACTGCCATGCAACCACACTCTCAACAACCTTCGCCCAAACTAATTCTGCACAGACTGAAAATTTTGATTTTCAGATACAATGCAGTAATGTAAATATATATATCATGACAGCTATAGTAACCCTATGACACAATGTTTGTGTTTGTGCAAAAAACAAAGGGATGGATGGATGGCAGCAACAATATGAACTGAAAGATGTTACAGTGCCCTAAGACCAAACTGTTATGGAAGCAAACACATTTAAAAGACTTAACAAAGAGAAAATACTTCCATAAATGAAAACTCAAAATGCCTGAATCTGTGGCCTGTTCCTGAAGTCCTGAAAAGTTATTGACAAACAAAATACAACTACTGAGCCATATCTGGGCTTCTAATAATTTGAGTATGGCCTACAAACATGATCAGCACTTCAGAATTCTAATTATTAGAACAAAGAGGGCTAATTCTCAAGGCTGCTGAGATTCATTCAAAAGGTAAAGTCAAAATCAGATTCAGATACAGATTTCAGACATATACATCAGTGAGGTTTAACAATGTACAGTCTGAAAACAATGGCAACTATACCAGAAAAAAATACAGAATAAATGAAACATTCACAATTTCTGTAGTTTAGAATCTTGCAGATTCATTAAAATAATAAGCAAATTGTTGGCCATCTTCAACTCCTGAATCATCTCCAATGATCTCTGAATGCTGCAAAATTAACACTGGCTAGTACTTAATTTAATTTTTTTAAATGGATTAAATGCAGGTTTGGCTGTACTTCAACTAATGAAATGAATGGTATTAAAATGAATCGTCACTAATATTATCTCATTTAATTCAGTGGCTCCACTCTGCTTACAACTAAGCATAAATCTACAGCACTAATTATTCTTAAAACCCATTGATGGATTACATCCACTTCAAAACCTAGAGGAAACTTCTAAAGTACTTACTTCTCTATGGCAGAAACATCCTTAGTTTCCAATTTCCCTTTGGTCAAAAGTTCAGGAGTGATTCGCCCCTCAAAAAGGAGACCTTCTTTGGCCATTTTTACAAGGATAAGCCTGACAAGTTCACCCATGTACATTCCACTGACCATCTTTTCAAATCTGAAAAGAGATTTCACAAAAAATGCCGTTCAGTCATTCAAATACACAAAAGCGCATCTTACTCAGAATCTATAAGGTTGCAGCTTTATGTTTACAATCTTATTCATGTAAAAAGTTCGATATTGGGGGGGGTGTTGTAAATCACAATCTCATGGGCGGAGGAGGCTGCAAACAGTTGTAAATGCAGGCCAGTTACCAAGCATCCAAAACACGGTCGTATGATTGCGGGGGGCGGGCAGCCATTTGAACTTCAAAACCAGGTTGTAACCTTTGTGGGGGCTTGTTGTACTTATGTACGTAGCTTCTGGGGGGCTTGTTGTAACTTCAAATGATTACTAAGCAAACAGTTGTAAATTGAGGATTGTCTGCAAACATTTTGGACCACAGCCATCTGTTTTCACTTTTGTTGGTGTTATTTCGAATAGCCAAAAGCTTTAGTAATGCATGATGGTGATATTATGACATAATAGTCTAGGATTAGATGATGCAAGATATAATTATTTCAATTACAGTTGCTTCCCAGGATTAAGGGAACCCCGATCAATCTCTCTGTCAAATTCAGTCCGGATGTCTTCTAATAAGCCATCATCTCCAAATGCACCCCATTCGGTGTTGATGCACATGCGGCCTTCATCACCTTCCACCAGATCAATGTGCCTCATTTCCTCCATATAGCAGGCATTTGTACCAGTCCCTTAAAAGAAGCAAATGGGATTATGTCATCACAAACGCAAAATCAAAATTCTATTATGAGTTATTCTGAACAAAGAATTAGTACCGATAATTAAGCCAACTTCGCAACGCTGGTCATCAAATCCACAGGTCATCATTGTCCCAACAGTGTCATTAACCACTGCCATGATGTCCGCATCATAATCCTTTAGAATGAAACAGAGTATTTTCTTATATATCAGACAATTTAATTATCAGTGTTGATCTGGATAGTCTAAATGTCAAACCCCACAAACTTTGGCATGTCAAGCATATCATTAGGTTAGCCAACAGATCATGGTTTTGTATTTTGTTCTTATTATTACACACAAGACAGATTGTCTCCTCGAAATGTAGCATTATTTTCTTTTCAAAAAAGTCCCTCATCAAAAACCTCAAGACTCTCCCTTTGTGACTCAATCCTAGACGTAGCCACTTTGGGACCAATAAAAAAAACTACTGTGATTTGTAGCTTTGTTAAAAGCGCCTGTTGTTGCTCTTACCACAACACCCTGAGAATAATTCTCATTCAATGGAGTTTACTAATGGACTTGTTTCTACATGAAATGGGTCAATGGAGTTATAGTGCAACAATTTGTTACTTCAGAGTGGATTGTTTAAAGCAGGGGTGTCCAACCTTGGCAACTTTAAAACCTATGGACTTCAATCCCCATGATGTCTGGGGAATTCTGGAAGTTGAAGTCTCCACAAGTCTTAAAGTGGCCAAGTTGAACAACCCTGCTTTAAAGTTTTGGCCATCTGAATATATTTAACATAGAAATCAGCCTGACAATTATCTTGATTCAATAATTTTGCTAGGAATAAAATTAACAAGTATCTTATAATTTCCCAACAACTGATAAACAACAGGAAAAGAAATGTAATTCATCTAACAATGCATGTACAAAATCAGCCAATTCACCTATGCTTTATACAGATAGCCAAAACACATTCTTACCCCACGTTTCTTGATGGCTTTGTTTAAGAGATTCACTACGTCAGCTCCTTCGACACCACTTGCTTTGAAACGTTTTGTCCAGGTAATCAGAACACCCTAGAAAAATTAAACTATTAACACACTAGCCAAATTACAGGACATTCATGATACTTCTTTCCACCAACACATCACTTATTTTGGGCAGGTGGGTTGGAATAGTTTAAAAATAATGGAAAATCTGTTCAAATGTGGAGCAATGTCAGCAAACCTCCTGCATGTCCATTTACTGAAATTCCAAGTGAGGTACTTAATGCAAGTAAAAACAAAATTAAATCACAATACTTTATTTTAGATCATTGAGATTAATCGATCAGAATACAAGCAATGCCACTGCATATTATTCATTCTTGCTGTATTTTGACTCCCCATTTCAAACACCCCACAATTCTGGGACTGAGCAACTGCATTCAAAGATATACTTGTTCTCATATGCAAATTCTTCCCATTTGCATGAAATTCCATTTGCATGGAATCTCATTGGTGTTGATATAATGCAGGGGTCTTCAAACTTGGCCCTTTTATGACTTGTGGGTTTGTGGACATGCCTGGCTGAGGAATTCTGGGAGTTGGAGTCTACAAGTCATAAAAGGGCCAAGTTTGAAAACCCCTGATATAATGTGATGCATACATGAAAATTCTGCAGCTTCCTATAACTTCACAGTACTAAATTTTGAAGATGGTTTTAATTCAATTGCTTTATGAAGCAATTACACTGTAGTACTAACAGTATAGTACCTGTTATTATGTTATATTATATTCATATCATCAGATTCTTCTGACTAAAAAAGTACAAATGTTCAGTAGAAAGTCCCTAATAAAACCTCAACTATCTTCTGATTCAGCCAGCAAGGACTCTTTTGGAAACCCTGCAAAACCAAATAATTGAACTTGGCCATATTTGCACAGTACGTTGTTAGTGGCACCAAATCAGGTTTGATTCCTGAACACGCTATGGACAAATACTCACCATCTCCAACTACTGTATAATAATAATAGATGTGTTTCAAAGACACCCTGGTAATCTCTTTGATCCTACCCATCCATGATAACTCTTTTCTTCCTTTGTGCCTACTTCCTCAACCTGGCCAAGAATAGACATTTTCTTGTCCATTATCCATTCATAGCACACATTCAAATTATATGAAATTTGGCTTGCTAAAAATCACCTCAAAGGAGCAGTCACTCTTTAGTTGATCCAGGATAGATCTTTTTTTTTCTTGCAGTTCATGGTATCTTAATAGCCATTTCAAGATTTTTAATCTGATGGCATCTGTCTTCTTTTGCTTGCTCTCAACCAGTAACCAGCTTCCATAGCTGTACATAACTTCCAGAAAGGCCACTGTAGTAACATGCTGATCCTCATAGTCACTATGCCTTTGTCCTTCATGATCTTAGTGATTCTGTTATTCTGTTAAATGACTGTTTTTCTTCCTAGAATTAATCTATTTTTATTTTTCCAGTACATTGTTCATCTTTATCAG